ACCGCAACCGACCTTACTCCTCCAAAACCCAACATCCCCCTTACCATTCCATTCCTCGCACACAACGAGTTCACCAAGCACTGTCAACAATGGCTCCAGACGACCATTCAGCAGCACAAACACCTGGCCATCCCGCTCCACCTGCCCACTCATCGCTTGCGGGAAGCAGCACACAAGACCCTTCGAGCCCACCTTCACAATCACCGAACCTGGGAAGCCACTTTGAACAACCCCCCGGATCCCAGTGACCTTCCATGCGCTTGCTCACACCTCAAAACCATTCTTCTCGATCCTGCCACACCTACACCCTTGAACAACTGACGCTGCCACCACACCTCCACATTTTCATTGCAGCCAACATGAATAGCACTTTCTATCCCAGCAAGGCTAGATACTTCCTCATGTTCCAGACCGCTTTTGCCAAATGGCTGCGTGTACAAGGCCTCCCTGCATCTCTCACACAACATTTGGAGCCATTCCTCCAGAAGCAGTGGAAGCTCCACACAGCACATCTCAAACACCAACCCCGCTTCACGGCTCGCCTATTGAGGCAACTCCAAGCATTTCTGGGCGACCAAGTCGTCCTTCACCATGCCGACCATGAGCTACAACAACTCCGCATTTTCTGCCCTCGTCAATACTTCACCGGGGCACTTGCCACCTGGCAAGCACCTGAACTCTTTGAACCCATGCCAACACTCCACCTATCGAACATCCACGAATACCTTTTGAACACCGTCCCCTCCCGCCTTCGTACACGTTACAAATGGGGTTTCCGCAAGGATTTCACGATCCCATACGGCATTGTCCACTTGAAAGAGAAGAAGCATTGGCGCAAAGGGCGCACCATCATCTCTTACTTTCAATCCCTCAGTGGCAATCTCCTTCGCATCACCAGCCGAGCACTCGACATCGTACTACACAACACCTTCTCCCCCAATTTCCAGGCCAAATGTCCATCCCACAGCTTTGGGCCCATGCACTTCCATTGCTACCTCACCCAAACACCTCCGGATATCCCCCTGCATGCCACCAACGACGATCTCGTGGGCTTCTTCAACTCATCTCCCCAACACCGTTTGATTGATGCCGCTCATTCCCTGATCCAACAATGGCAGCGCCAGAACAACACACATACACTCACAGTCGACACCAAAGCCACAGGCAACCCGTTCCACCATTCTCACATCGGCAGGCACCACATCCGCCACCCTACACAACGTACCATCCACACCCCTGACATCACAACTATTGTGGCCTTCGCACTCAACACATGCATTTTCCGGGCATGCAACAACACCTACAAGCAAATCCGAGGCGCTGGGATTGGCTCCCAGCTCTCCCCTGCCCTTTGCAACGTCGCCATCACTCTCATTGAACACTCCTGGCACCAGCTCCACAACAACCTTCTCCAGCACACCGCCCTCCACTTCACCTACTATCGGTATGTCGACAACCGATTCATCATTCACAACGAACATTTCCTTACCCACCCCGCAATTCAGACACTCATCCACCACAACTTTTCGGCGATCCCGTCGAACTGGAAACCGTGGATGACTACCATCTCTTGGGCTTCAACATTGACCTTCAACAATGAACTATCACCTACATGCAACCCACCCAACCCTGGAAAATCAGGGACCACACCAGGTCCGGTAGCCAGCGCTTGGCTCTCTCCGGCTTAGCTTCCAGACTCCATGCCATTTACACCTACACTTTCCCACCTCACAACGCAACAGCCGCGGCAGAAGCACTGGTCCACCTATACGCCCAAAAATTGGGCATGACCTGCAAGCGTGCAGGCGGTTTTTGAGAAAAAGTCCGCTTATCCACTGCTTTGCAACAGCGCCGAGTTCGGCTTGTTGTGTGTGTCACACCCTGTTTCTAAGGGCTTTGCAACGGATTCTCCCAGCGATTCATATAAGCAGGGGGGCAAGGCCTCCAGCGATGAACCCAAGCTGTCACCCTACTTCTCCACGGTTTGTTTCATGGTTCTTCATGTTTCCACCCCCAAACCTCGGATTTGCAGCTGAGTTGCGCCGTTCGTTCACCACCGCTGAGTTCTGCAGTCAAGGGAAACAGCCTTTGTTAAAACATCTACAGTTTCTTGGACCTTTCACCGTACTGTTCCGTCGCCATCCTTCTCATTGTGGCAATTGAGTTAACTGAAAACCAATGTCAGAGTGAATACGTGTGAACCAAGAGAGTTTACAGTAACTTGTTTCGCACTTGCCAATCAAGCATGCTGCGTAAGGGAGGCCAATTCACTCTGGAATGGAAATGTTTGACAGGAGAGCCAAGCCCCATCCTCAACTCAAGAAATTGGTCGGCATCCACGCTGTACACCTGAAGTTTGTGCGTTCTCGCAGCTTTACTTTGAAAGATGCCAGTACAGTTGGGTTCCCTTGCAAGCATGTATGAAATATGCTCCCCAAGTCTTCTATGGAATGAACACTCTCAGTGCCCGGAAGTGGCACCCAGCCAACAAACATTGACAAGACAAAGCATTTTTAGCACCTTGATCATGCACTGTGCCGCCGTCTTTCGCACATATGGAGAACCTCTGGAGCACGCCAGAAAGCAAGGGGCAAGGCTGAGAGACGCTTGCAGTGTGGCACTCAAGGGGTGAGAAGGGAGAGTCACTATGTGATTGACTCAAGACTCAAGGCAAATTACAAAGGTACCACAGCAAATCCTCCTGACGACCAATTTGGATCAATTGTGCCGTCTGAGGCATCCTGCTATCACCAGTTGCAGTTTGCACAGCTGCCATGACCAGCTGGATGACCTGGTGCGGTATCATTCTTGATCCAAGAATCAGTGGCCTGGTCCTTTATCCAGTAGTACTAGGCATAGAACATAGAACAGTTACTTCTTCCAAAGAAGATTGGATTCTCCCTGAACGACGGCAAGCCGCTGATGGCGCAGTCAGGGCGCCTCTAAAACCTTGATCGATGCCATCGCACGGAGAGCAGATGCTCTCACCTGCTGGCTGCGATCAGAGAGGTCCTGGTGATGCGCCATACTTAGGCAACCTGCTATACATGATTGCAAGTAATTAGTGAGTAGCTCTTAAAAGAACCCATCTATACTTCTATAATATTCTATACATATCTATACCGCACACATTCTTTGAAGGACGGAAGTTCTCAGTCTCGACAGTGTCCTTCTGGAAGCTGTTGATGGACAGAAGTGCCAGCTCGCGGTTGTTTTCCGCGTACTGCGAGCGCTAGGTGGATGAATTCAAGTCTTTCAGCAAAGCAGTACAAGAATTGTTACAAGCATGCACAAGCTGAAGACGGTGCTCAACGGCTTTCTATGGCTTTCTGTTTCACTGAGATCTGAGTGAGTATGCATTTCACAGCATCAATGTGACTCATCAACTCGGTGCTTAGCCTGCACCAAATAAATGTATATCAACTTCTTCAGCTCGGGTGACCTGACCCGATGTCACATTCATATCGTTCGTCGACAATGTCAGCCGGGCAAAACCAGAGCTGAAAAGCAGCTGCTTTTCAGACTCCGATTATTGGGAGCGGCAAACGGAAGAGCTCAAGTGGATTTGGGGGCCCGAGCTGAAATGACACATTTTTCACCTCAGCGGCGCAGGTAAATGCACTATCTATATCTCTCTACCCTTCTGACTCAGCTTCAATGATGAGGAAACCCAGGTGCTTCCTGGTCTATCTCTGTGGTGGTCATGACAAAATGCCCCATGTCAGGCCGAGGAGCTACATCAGGGAAAAGTGCGCTCGCATCACGACCAACGGACACAGCTGCTAAAAGCCGCCTGTATGGAAAGCTCGAATGCCGAACTCAAGCAGCAGAAAGCCATGAAAAGGCTGCTAGGCCGCTAGAAGAGTTTCAACCTGTTTCAACATGCTAGGAGCCAGGACGCTATTAGGGTCGCCTGGCATCGCTACTAGGAGCAAGGACGCTACTAGGGGCTCCAACTTGGACCAGAAGTTCTGTTGACAGCCCAAAACCCTGAGGAAGCCACTTCATCGCATCGATCTTGCGATCAATGATGTTATCCAACAGGGCCTTGCGAAGCTCTGACTCGGAGTAGCGCTCCTGGCAATCCAAAAACATACCGTATATCCAATCCAACTACGACTTTCCACGCAAATGATCTCAAAGATTCAACAATATCTTTCGATACAGCTCTGTAGCTAGTGCCCACACTAAAAGCTTCCACAGTCTTTTCAGAGGGCGCCTCGTCAAAATATCTGGCCTCTGAGTTGGAAAATGCCGAGAAGATCTCTCGAACACCTGCAGAGGCCTGTGGCACATGGTCCATGTTCTTGTCCGATGTCAGTCCAGTCCAGACTTGTTGCAGCAAGGACTGGCAAATCTAAAACATTTCGTGACTTGTCCCTGTCTTTTCTTAACAATCTTTTGATTGGTTCAGCAGCGATCGAGAGAGATCGCGAGGACTCTTCCAGCTGGCCTTCTCCATGATTTGACCTCCTTGTACAGCCATGCGGGATCTGTTCACGATTCACAACCTATTTCAGGTTAATGTTTGAATATGTTTGATGATGTTTGTAGATTTTTGATGCCTTCCTTTTTCATTGGGCTCCACGACCCATCGGACACTGATTGGTAACTTGTGTTTTACTATTGGAACACAATAGAAAGCAACACAACAGTTGGTTCTCCACATGCGCCCCGTGTGAAGACTCTGGGATTGGCTAAACGATTATATATATAATTATTGAGCTTTGTGAGAGGATCATACTCGTAAAGGTCTCGTAAAGTGGCTCTACAGCAATAACTAAATCCAGATCTGAGGTGCGCTCGTGGCATTTGCTGTCTGACTCCTAAGCCTATGAGCAAGAAACTGCAGCACTCAAAAATGGACTCTGCACAACATTGGAGGGAGGTCTGAACTTCTGTCTGCCCATCGGTCTTAAAGTAAGCTGTGAACAGTTGTTCGTACTAGAGACAAGCATTCCAAGAGCAACAGCCTCAAAGGCAAACTAGGCACCTTTTGTTCCGCAGCTTCGCCCGACTTCATGTTTCAAGTCAGGGATGCAAAGCGGACAGATCCCTGGATTTTGCAACAGCAATAGCGCATGGCTCTGATTTTTTTCACATGAACTCTTTGCGAAGCTTCATGGCCTGCAAACATCCAGGTCCGTGGTCTTCTATGTACATTGGTTTACACGGTTTCAGAAAATGATCTTCTCCGATCCTAAGGTCCTCATGGGCTATTCCCAAGTTGACTTGTCTCATATATATAGTAAAACAATAGAATAAAGTATAAGAATATAATATATACTTTTCGCCCCCTACGAAAGTTGCTCACGCTCTACTCTCTTTCTTTTTCACTGGGGATGCGAACGGTGCAGGTGATCTGCTCTGTGTATTTGGTTTTGCATCCTTCTTACTTACTTCTGTACAAGTCACGCTGTCTATACATCACATGCACTTGACTTTGGAAAATCTTTGGCATTTCATTTAAAAACCACTTGGACCTGAACTCATCCAACACTATCTAGACTACCCGGATCACTCCCCATGAATTGTAGTCGAGCTCCACATCAACTCTGACGCAATCGACCATCTCGTTCACTTCCTTCCACATCAGCCTCGATGGGGCGTCTGCGATGTTACTAGGTGAGGGAATCCTGCTATACCAGTTCAAGCTATTCGCATAAGCATCTTGTAACATGGCCTCAACCAGCATAGTCCTACTTGCCACCGACTTGGTGACCCCTGCCACCAGAGCTTCTTTCACTCCTTCATTGTCTATGAAGTATAGCACACGGGCTCCACGGGTCACCTCCTTAAAGTCTCTCTTGACCACTACCACGGGGAGCAACTCTGCCTGGGTGATAACCTGTTCGTGACCATGTTCATGCCACGTGTCAATATCCACCTTGGAATTGTGAATCCACACACCAGTGGCTTTGCAAGTCTGGGTGAGAAGAGCACCGCACCACACGATGCGATCCCTTGCTCGTAGGCCCCATCCGTGAACACCAGACAGGGTGGTTCCCCTCCTAGAACGTCTAACCTCCGAGGTGGAGCACTCCTCAGAAGTCTCGCTGCCAAACCTAAGGCCTCCTCAATCTCACTCGTCACATGCCTCACTGCCTTAGTCATCAGGGCTCTCCTCTTCACCGGCTCCATGATCGGGGCCAGCCACCTCCCACTGCACTGTGCTTCCGCAAAGTTCAACCGGCCATACACCTTAGCTGCCGTGGCCGGGGGGAAAGTGTTCAAGTCCTTCATGTCTGCAATCGCTGACTCCAACTCACCCACTCTTTCTGCCTTGTTCTTGACCAGGACAACGTTTTCATGGGACTGGGTCAAATCGATCACAACACCTAGGACAACGAATGATGCACTTGGAGGGGTCCTTTTCTTCGGCTCCTCAGCTATGCCCCACCCCAGAGTCCTGAAGGCCTCTTCCATCACCACCTGTGACCTAATTGCCATGGTCTCTTCATCGATGTGGGGGTAGTCGTCGAAGTAGTTCACTACAGGCATCAAGAGAAACCTCTGCATGATGTCTCTCAACGCCCTTGCCACCCTATTGAAAGCCATGACTGCCCCAGTGGCCCCAAAGGGGAGCACGTACGAAACGAAGAACTTCACTACATCCTCATCTGGGTCTAGTACTGCGATTACCGCATTGCTACGGTCGACTGGTGACAGAGCTAGTTGCTTGTAGGCTGACTTGAGGTCCAGGCACCTACCACTCAACTTCAGCCCCCTTCCTCTAAACTCCTCCGCCTTGCTGCCTCTCAGGGTCATCCCTGACGAAAGCTGCGCCTGCACCTCGCTGCTCAGCCCCCCAAACGCTCTGGTCCATGCTGCCGCCAACGAGACTACCTCATCGACGCCACCCAAGTCCAACTTCTCACCTGGGCCGTAGCACTGATTCACTGCAAACTCGCTCAGGTCGTCTATGTTCCTCACCTTCTGACCTTGTACAATGCCAAACCTACGGCTGGGGGTCCACAACGGTCTCACTTTCTCACTCACCTCCGACGCTGTCAAGGGCCCCTCAAGCCAACCCTTGCCTACTTCATTGAGGGTCGCATCCCAGACTTCCCGGGCAACGTCCAGTCGACTCCCTTCTATCTCAGCACTCCTGCTTGACATGTGTCTTGGGACTCTACTAGCCACCTCATCTTGAGCCGACTTCGAACTCCTCCATAGGTCTTCCCTTTCTAGCAGTGGGGGCTTGCACTCAGGAGCGAAACACCCTGTGTCCTTGCCCTCGCCCGTGATGTTCATGCCTTTGCAGATGTCATCAACTAAGGTCTTGTCCCCATAACCCACAATCTTGATCATCTCGGCTAGCAACAATAGTTTCTTGGGCGCCAACACTTCTGCTACTTTCGGCTCCATGCGTGCATGCAGCTCCTGTTCCCTGCTCTCCAGTTCCCGGGCCTTCTGCTTCATCCACTTGAGTCTGCGAGACCTCTCCTCGTGAACGGCCTCTGTTCCTTTGGCGATCACTTGGTACATGGCATCCAAAACATGGTCCGGCATCTGGAAAGAGGAATCAAAGGGGTGTTCCAGCAACTTGGCTCTCCTAACTGCCTCTGTTGGGGTCATAGGGACGCCAAAGCAAACTGTCCTCTGCTGCTCACCGTCCCCGACTTCTTCCCCCTGTTTGGACGGTAAATTGTGCAAAATACGTGTACCAGGAGGAAAACATGGTGGTTGACGACATGTTCGTACTTCGATCGACCCTGCCAACAACGTAGAACCTGCAGATCCTCAGGGGCAGAGACGTGGAGTTCCACAATCTGCCCATCCTCGGGCAACATCGCCAAGGCCTTGCGGCCTCGAGGTTGGCGTCCAGCTGCCACTTTCCACCCGGAGGAGGCCTGGAGGGCTGCCGGGGTGGATCTGGGTTCAACGTCAACTTGGTATCCCTGCTGCTTCGCTAGCTTGCTGATGATGATGGCCACTCGCTGGCACAACAGCAGTGGATACTCTGCTTCACTGGCTGTGTCATATACTGCCACCTACCGTCCAGGGACTTACTTACTTTCCAGGCTTTGTGGTCATGGGAGCGGTCACACATGACACCGAGCTGGCATAGGTCCCGACAGTTGTGCAACAAGGACGTCTTCTTGTCCCTGCTGCCCCCATGCATACATGCTTGAAAGGTTGTGAAATACACTCCAGGAAGGTCGAACAATGCTTTGACACATGGAACTTGCCACATGTAGCTGTTGGTGGGGTTCTCAATGAACACGAATGTACCATGTTGATGTGCATAAACGAAGACTCGCGCTGCAACATAGTAACATGCATTGGCCTGCTCGACACGCACCCTGTCCCTCCCTTGAAGATGAGGTAGTCCACTTGGATGCTCTGCACTGCGCAAGGGTGCTGGCGATGGTACTCCTAGCCGTTGGAGCCATCGAGGGATGGGTTTGTCTCGAGCTCTGGACGACGTTCCGCATGGTGGGGCCATCGGGATGAAGAAGACTGCACCACCATCGACCTTCTGCTCGATGTACTTCGCACTTGACTCTTTGGATAAGTTCAAAACTATACATGGTCCAACTCTATTTTTACACATTTTGTGATCGATGCCTAACGCTGCAAAACCATGCGACTTCAAGCACTTACTTAACTTGCAAGATCCGGCAAACATTTCAAATGCAATTGGCGGAAACCGCTTGACATTTTCATCCAGCTTGCCAGGGTCTTGCCTGGAAAATTTGAAATCATCTGTACAAGTTCTGGGCGTGCCTTCAGCTGCCCTGCTCACTTCCGGCGCTTCTTCCGTCTGCATGGCTTCTGTGCTCATGTCGGGCTCTTTGTCATCGCCCCATTCCTTTGCCATGCTGCGCCGCCCAGCGCTTCCTTCCTCTCACTGGTTGCACTGCAGGGCCCCATGGCCTCCCTTCCAGCACTTCATACAAATGTGGAGACCTTTTCCACACTTGCTGTCTTTCCCGGCCTTGCAGCTGCCCATCTGGTAGCCGTAGCAGATCCTCTCTCCATGCTTCATGGGTGAGTAGCCCCAGAGCTCCCTCGGCAGCATCTTCTTCGGGGCCACCGTCTTGTCTGCCTCCGGCTGCGGTGCTGCCTTTGTCTTCTTGGCTTCTGTCTCTTTGAGCCTCTCCTTCAACTTCTGGTTCTCGCGCATCAACTTGCGCTTGCTGGTCGTCGACCCCGTGCCCTCTGGCACTGCTTCTCCATGATCCTTGCTTGCGCTCGCCTTTGCTCCTGGCAATGGCAGCAGCAAGGTGATGAACGCGGGCTCCATGATGATCTTCTCCAGTGCGCTATCGGCCAGGCGCTTCCCACTTGCATCGCGCCCAAGGTCACCTTGCAGCTCCTCTGCCATCAGCTTGAATGCCCGTCGGTCGGCTGCTGCAATCTGTGCCAGCGTGACTCCGGCATATCCCATGGGCGCCTCCCTCTGGTACTCTTGGAACATTTTGTCGATGAGCTTCTCATGGGCCGTGAAGGTCATGACATCTGCAACCTCCAATGCCAAGCCACGCCTGGTGTATGCCTGCCGAAGTCGAAGGTCGGTCTTCGTGTCCGCCTCTGGCAGCTTTGTCTCATCGTGTGCCCTGAGGTGACCTGATGCATCTTTCTTGATCAACTCCTCTGTCTTCACGTTCAGGAGCTCTTGGTCCCTCGTTGGCAATTCATGGGGGGCAAGGTACCTCAGTTCTCCTTCGACCTTCATCGAATGGCACTTGTCCACCACGTGATGAGCTGGCTCCAACTGATCGGACATTTGCAAATGCCCGTACGTCAACTTCATCTGCGTCCAGCGTGTCTTGCGTTCCACTGGAGGCAGCTTCCTAGTTTTGCTTCCGACTCCTGGGTCCCCTCCAGCCTGCTTCGAAGCTCTGCTGCCACCACTGTGTATGCTTCATGGTACAATTTCCTCAACTTGGGTAGGTCAGCGTGATCTCCTCCCCCCAATAGGGGAACCACCACTTGTGTCATGAAGCTGGCATCATCTCCAGACTCAGGGGACCAACTGCCGGCGAAGGCAAAGGTCGAAAGGGTGGTCCATCCTCTTCGAGCCATGGCGTCCTTGTACCCCTCCAACCCCATGTCCTTCAACTTCGACTCAAAAACAGCCTGCGACTCAGTCAGCGTCGCCATGCCGCTCCCTGAACCGCGTTAGCCGCCTGATTTGAGCCTACTTTGCCACTCGCATCGACCACTCCGTCACGTCAACAACTCCTACCTAACCTTGCTCCTATCTCTTCACCTCTGTACCTGTCTACCTACCATGTTCACAACAAAACTGCGACTTCGTCCGACTGCACAACACGCTCCTCCGACCCATCAGTCCTCGCGGCGCCACTTCCAGCTTGCAGGACTTCCCTGCATCACTCGACCTGAACCGGACTTCCCGGTCACGTGCCAAGTGCACTTAAGGGAACGACTCCCCTGGTTGCTGAACATGTCACTGACACTTCACTTGCACTTCCCATAACTCTCTATCACCACTTACTTCACCTCTTCTTACTTCTTACTCATTACCTCTCACTTCCCTTCCACCGAGCACTTTTCCACTATGCATTCGCACGGTGTCACTTCGCGTATCCTTGACACACCTTGCAGAGACTCCCTAGGCCATAGACTTCCTCTTCCAGTTTAAACATCACTGGAGTTATGGCCCTTCCGCATGCGAGCTTTCCGGGAGTCACACTTCGCATGGTGCAGTGTACCTGTCGAACCATGCCTGTACAAGTCGTGGTTTGCTTTCTTGGGCGGACCGATTTTGGCCCTGAGGACAGCTTCCAGGTTCCGTTCATCTGCACTTTCACCGCACTCCTCATCAGTCTCTTCACTTTCACTTGAAAGCTCCTCCAGACTCACGACGCGATGCATCTTCTTGTCTGGAGTGGGCACCTCAATCATGTCCAGCTTCGGCTCTCCACTAGGGATCACTTCTTCATCCTCCTCATCGTCCAGGACTACCCCGGGCGAGCTTGTGGATGCTCCCGGCTCCTCGTGCTGCCATCTCTGGTTACGAGGGGCATCTGGGGCGAAACTTCAGGTTCCTGATCCTCTCGATGATGCCAGTGAGAGTGTGCAGGCCTTCCGCAAGTGCATCCCTGCTGTAGATCATCACACTCTTGTCCTTTGGCTTCACGTGGTATCCCATGAGCCTCCTCACTTTCTCGTGCACCATCGCCTTGGCCATCCAAGACAGCGCAGCCGCCTTCAATGAGTGGGCTCCCACGTTTCCAAGTGAGCTGGTGCCGGAATACTTCTGAAGCACCTCACACAGCCACACCGTTGCCTCAGGCGTGGCCAACTTTGCTCTGCTCCAGCCTCCACCTACCACTGGCGTCGGCAAGAAGGGCATCCCCGGCAAGGCTTTCAGCCCTGCCAGGTGCCTAAGCTTCAAAAATTCCTCAGCCCATGCTAAGCCTGACACTCCGACTGCGGGCGCAACCACGGGAAGAACTCGTCGAGCACGTCCTCTGAGTCCATCTGTCTTGTGGATGGCAGTGCCACCCTCCAGATATCCTCCAAAGACTTGGGGCTCGTTCTCAATCCCTTGGCTGTCTCCCATCCTGAGCCGCCCATACACGCAGAGCAGACAGTGCCCCGCAAATAGCCTGTCCTGCATAGGGAACTCTCGGCCAGCCAACACGGCTTCAAGAGTCATCACCTGGTTCACGGTTAAGGCATCCCTCTGCTTCAGCACCCGCTTGGTCATTTAACTCCTGTGCGACGAGCCTGCGATTCTAGAGCTCTCCAGGACCTCATCCACACCTTCAAGCCGGATTGCGCCCTTGCAGAATGCCAGGGCTCCTCGGAAGCTGGTGGCTCTTGTAGCCGGAGCTCCATCTCTCCTCAGCCCATCCACATAGTTGTAGCACTGTGCCTCGGTGAGCGGGAAAGCCACTAGCCCTTTCGATCTCGCCCACCTGACATACATCATCATTGCACTCAGTCTGACCTGCAGGGTGCCGTTCTTCTTGCGGGCAAAGATGTCTTCCATCACCTCTTCACCGCTCTGGTCGATCATCTCCGCAGCCTTGCAACACTTTCTGGCTTCATCGATGATGACCAACCATCCTGAGAACACCTTCTGCCGGTCGTCCGCTTCTGCCTGATCCCATGGCATCCTCACTCTGTCTGACTTCTTGAAGCTGGCTTGGATCTCCAGCTTCTCGTCCTTCGAGCTGCCACTTTTCGCCTCAGTCTCGACTTGCTCCATGGCCCATGCCTTAGGGCCTTCATGACCTGCGAATCTGCCTGTAGGACCAGACCAGCGAAGCCCTTTTCCCAGGGCATCTTCAACTCGTGCGGGTACTTGTACTTGAGCTTCTTCATCTCACTTTGGATCATGTCTTCTGCACTTCCACCACTCTCCTGAATGGCCACTCTCTTCTGGGGCCACGCCTGCTCAGCGAGCTTCTTCAATGCCTCCAGGGGGCTCTCAATCACCATCTCCACGTCGGAGTCGTCCACCACCTCAGTTGGAGAACCTGATGCTGGCGGGTCGTTGAGCCTCACATCGCAGCTCCTCATACTAGTGACTTCCCTGACCCTATCAGCCAGCTCCTGGAGGCTTTCTCGTGGCTGATCTTCAATGTCGTCATCCAGGATTATAGGTCCCCCTCCCGTGTCCTCATCCCCCACCATGAGGGGGGCGTCTATCGAGTCCATGGCAACTCTGTAGGACAAGAAAAGACAGGGACACTTGAAGCCAAAATGGCACACGTACGCAACCGTTCAACAACTAACATTGTTTCACTGTTTCTTCGTTAATTTCATGACGGTATGCATATACTTCCGAAACGATTCCGAAACATTCCGAATCCCAAAGATCCGGCATCTTCAGACCGCTACAAGTCACCCTTACAGCACTGACAGTACCTTGCTCCTAGTCCAATTTAGATGATCGTCGAGTAAAGCAACGGGACGAATCAGCCACTATAGATGTTTGAGCTGAATCGAACGAGGCTAACGGTTGGGTGCATCATTGGTGCACGCTCAGTGCTGTGGGCATCTGGTCAATGTCTATTTATATCTACACCTTATAAGACCTTATAATACACCACAAGCCCTCTCCAAGTTTTTTTGCACTTTTCAAAAGCAGGTTCCCAGTGGCGTCCTCCGCACCGCCTCTTCTTTGGCCATATACTAGTCAGTCAGCAACTTTGAGCACGCTTGTCCTGCAATTCGGCAAAAAACCTCGAAATGCTTCACTCACTGAGGTTATGTTTGGATGTAAATATATTCCCCTTTTAGAACTGGTAGCAGCTAGCAGCTAGCTAGCAATTCCAAAAACTATTCTTGACAGCTCCGTGAAGAAACCGCCACTGGAAATTCTGGCAAAGAATGGACAAGAATACCGGCATACCAAAGACCGGCTTCTCCAAAGAACATGCTAAAATCATTGCGGGTAGGTCTACACAGGTTTGTTGGGAGATTGATGGAGATTGATATCTTGCAGTATCGCAATCTTTTTCCAGGTGCCTTCGCACAGTCTTTGAGCCATCCGTCGCCTGCACCATCGAAAAGGCATAGGATTGCTTCAACCGTGACCATTGTTGAGAAGTCACACGACAACGACCATGAATTTCTGCCTCAGATCCTGTTGATCCAAACCTCATGTTGAAGCCATGAATCGAGCCCTCTGTGCCTCCTCGAGCTGAAGCACGGTTGCAAAGCGTGGATCAAGAGACCCAAAACCTGCAGTGTTTGGAGGAGATTGATCCTGGATCCACGATCTGTTACTAAGAGGCTGGTATTGTTTCTACAAGGCTACAAAGGTCACGGAACTGTCCCAGCTATTTATAAGCGCAGGGTGCCACAAGGACAAAACCACCAGTTCAAGGCGATAGATTCTTATTGTCTATTGTCACTATTGTCTCACAACCACTAGCCCCACCTCGTCAAATGACCCACATCGGAATCGGCGTTCGACCTTTCTCACATTTTTCACCACCGAGAGGCTGGTGTTGTGATGGAGGATCCGGTAGCCCAACCACCGTCGCCCTGAAGGGCTCAAGAGCTCCACTGAAGGCTTGGTGATCTGAGCGGAGCAGCAAAGCAGCAGAGCAGTGGAGCCCGCGCCGGGGCTCAGGGGGCGCAGCGGCCCACAATTGGTTTGAGGTGGCTTGGGGGCATGTGGGGCATGGAAGTGTTCGATGAAACAGGATGGGAAAGGACGGGCCCAACTTCTGGGGCTCCCTCAAAAGACTGACCGGCTGTGTTAGCAGTTGATAAGAAAACCAAGTACTACACAAATGTCTGCCGACTCTGTTCTACAGCTTCTCGCTGTCTGGGTCCCAGACTCCTGCTCGATTTGCCGAAACCAAGTTTTCTAACACATGGCTTGGCCAATCCTTGGGGCAACACGCGAAACATCTCATGCATTCTCACGCCCTGCAACTTGAGTGCATTTCTAGCCACAAATGAGCATGCTTCGGTTTGCCAAGGATCCGCTACCTACTCAAAAAAGGGGTAAACCAAAGACCACTTCCTGAGTCCTGAGTAGAGTTGTTTTTCTGCCTCAAATGGGTGCAAATGTAGTTTTTTGACGATGTTCAATTATAGATATTTGATATTGATCATTCGCTGGAGAAAGCTCACATTTTTCCGTGTTCTCAATCTGACGTCCAGCGGCATCCGGTGCAAGATTCCCACTCGCTGCCAACCTCTGCAAGCCAGGCACCTGACAGTTGTTTTACAAAACTCCTGACAGTTCATCACATATCACAAGGTGTTTGGTCAGCCTCATTTCTGCACGGTGTTGTAAAGTTTTTTTAATTATGACACTTGTGAGGTGGAAGAAGCTGCGAAGAGCTTTGGACTCATTAGCTGATCAAATATTGCACATATGCTGGGTGTCAGCAATGGGTGTGCCTTGGGCAAAGCTTGCAGCAACAGCTGCAAACCCCGTCGGCCAATGCGGTTCTCCTGCACTCAGTTTTTGCACAGTTGTAAGTGAATCTGCAGCTATAACAACTTTAACATACTTTAACAAACATCCTCATGACCACCTTGCTTGGGCTTGGAATCGGTAGTCGGCACTTTACGAGAATTTGCTGACAGTCTCCTGCATCTGAAGCCACACAATGGCCTTCGGAGCACGGTGCAATCCTTTCGCAATGGCTTCAGCTCCTCCATCTCCCACTTTGGCATGGCCTCGTGAGGATTTGTGTATGTCAGCATGTCCCCTGAGTGTGGAAAGAAACTCTGCACGTCGTCTGGAAACGAAGGCCCTGATGATTTTGCGAGGTTCCACATGCAGGCAAGTCTCTGACATTGAGATGCTGCAGTGGACAGCCTGCTGCAAAACGATGCAACACGACCGTCCCAACAAAAGGCTCAGAATGACTCAAATAGTTCAAACAGCGGTAAAACAGAGTCCAGTGGACTGACCGTCCTTCATCCAGGCCAGCAGCCAATGCAGCTGCACCTTGTCGACCCAAAGAATTTCGGCTCACATCCAGAGATGTGAGCCGAGTCTTTGCAGCACCTCGTTTTGGATTGAAATGGCTGCTGCTGGTGGTGGTGGCGGTGGTGAAAGAAAACGGCATCGAATCAATTGGTGCGAAAGTAGACCAAACGGGTATGTATCGGCTCGTCGCTCCTACATCTGCACGTGAATCCACACTGGATTTCTCATGACTGGAAGCAAGCTAAGCAAGCGAAAAAGGGCATGTATCCTGCTCTCGGAAAAGCCATCACACTAGGCTACCACACCAGTCAGCACCGCCGCCAATGCATCAACGCCAAACACACCCACACGATTGCTCGACACATCAAGCTCCTGACGGCATGAGCATCGGAACATGAGAGAACAACCGACCAAAAGCAAAAGAATTGAAGACCAAACTCTTTAAAAGCGTGGCTATGGGTCTCTGTGGGTCTCTGCACCCCGAAACCATGCGAAACCTCTTCGACCTAGGTGACGTGCGACGAAATGCCGACCCGGATGATCAGAAAATGGCTTTGCCATGTCTTGCCAAGCATTGCCAAACTACCATTGTTTTGTGGTGACATGGTCACAATTGGTGACATTCTGTTGGACCCGCACCCATGATTCTTTAAAAATGTGTAACACGAAACAAATCCGCAAACAGCGTGCCATCCCGCCTGCAGTTGTGTGAGAAAGGTTGACGTGATCCCATCTTTATCTGCTAAGGGTGATTCACCACGACGCGGCGGTGTTCGGGAGCTGCCGTTCATGCTGCCCGCGTTCATGCTGACCCGGCTTGTGAGCTTCCTAAGATGTGAAGGTCAAATCCAATTCAAACGATTCATGGCATTTGACTGGCAGCCCTGAAACTCCATCGTATCAATGCGTCAACAGAACAATAAGGACATCTTTTGCAATCGATGAATGCAGCCGGAGTATCTGGCTACGCTCAAACTCGTCACATCGACTTCCAACCTCCAGCAGGCTATTGGCCTCATTGGCTTTTGCAATACTTTACCATCATTTAAATATTTACATATATAGCATCATATTGCATCATATTGCTTTCACTCTATTGTTTGTTCGGACGCTACTAGTAGCAAGGACGCTATTAGGTGGAGGCCATCGCAAGTAGGTTGGAGGCCATCGCTACTAGGAACCAAAAGCGCAAAAAATCACTTAGAGGTTGGAGGCCGTTGCTATTAGGTTGGAGGCCGTTGCTATTAGGTTGGAGGCCATCGCTAGTAGGTTGGAGGCCATCGCTAGTAGGTTGGAGGCCATTACTACTAGTAACAAGAAGCTACTAGTACAGTAACTAGTAAAACTAGTAGCTAATTCCTTGGCGGCGGCATGCGACGGTGCTTCACAGCTGAGAGTCAGGCTAAAGCCGTTACACCTTCGTCCTGCACGTACTTGCTTCGGCCAGGGACGCCAGGGACGTAACGATTGGTCCATATTTAGGCTGGATTTAAACCCTGGAACAATGGTTGGCACCCAAGACTGTGCAAAGCAAAACAAACTATGGATTCTGCTGGTATTCAGGCGTTTTTGTTGACAAGTGAAACAGAATCTGGACTCTGGACATCTCTTGTCTCCAAGTCAGAGTTTCACAAGCCCGGGCTCCATCAATGGTGTCCAGTAGTCACCTGGGATAGAAAATTAACGTCATGTCAACGTTGCAGTCCGTTGCTGCTCCTCGATGGCATTGCCACGTAAGCCAAGCCGGGTCAGCCTGCAACCTGCCAAAGCCAAGAGCTGGGAAGAGTGATCCAGAAAGTGATTCAGCAAGCTTCTGAATAAGTGCAATAAGTTCAATATACAGAATCAATATACTGAATTTCATTGAATTTCAACTTGTGGTTTTCCATGGTTTTCCTCTGTTCGGTCTTCAGGGATTCCCGGCCTTGGGGATTTTTTAAGGCTTCTGCCAGGCGTTGGGCCCCTGCAGCCCCCACTCGGCACCCACCAAGCTCCAAACGTTGCAATGGCACGCCTTCGACGTTCACCAAAAACCAAGCAACCCAAATGATCTGAAAGGATCAAGGGATCTGAAAGGGATCTGAAAGGTACACATAGCCGAAAATCCACAGACCGTTCTTGGACTATCTTGGACTGTTCCTCAAGGATACTCCGTCCCAAGTCTGCACTTCCAGATTCGATTGGTGCTTCAAATGTGTTGCACCTGTGAGGAGAGCATCAGCCAAATATCCGGCACCAGCGTTTCCGACATCTGTGTACCTTGCTTTAACAAACACATCAAGGTCGGAAGGCCTTGCTTTAGTCGGCGGTTTCCCATAGCCATAGCCCCAATAAGGCCATCTGCTACAGTTTTGTTCAGCGGCCGCGAACCAATCAGCATCTAATGTGCCCCTGAGACTGATTTCTCTCGGAAACCTTGAGAATCTGCAAAATGCTCTGTTTGCGGTGCCAGGCTACTCCAAATCCAGCTCCTTAAGGTTCGGCAGGCCATTCTGAAGCAACTCTGAGAGAAACCAAATGCCCTCTGCCTCAAAGGATCATCATAGAATGGAGCAGTTCTTGAATTCTCAGGTCACAAAAGCAACAAAAGGACGTGGCATGCCGTTGCGTTGCTGTTTGCACTCTTTGCATGTCGGTGCCTGCAAGGCATTGTTGGCCAAGTCCAAGCGCTCCAGGTGGGGACATGCCTGAAAAAACACCGTATCGTCGATGGGACCCATCGTCGATGCTGGATGATGACTCTTCCATATGATGGGACCCATCGTTCGCCCGCAAAAGACCTTCCAATTTGTCCTTCCAACTGATCTTTGAAGTGATCACAATCAAGAGTAACAAGAGCTGCAGTTCCATCTGCAGATCGGCCAGATCGGCCTTTGCAGTGAGATTCTCGAACAGGAACTGGCCCGTCAAAGGGGTCAACTCGTTACAGCCTAAGTTGTTTGATGTGTGTGTCACTGTGTGGCAGTCCTTCCTGAACAAACCAATCCAATCAGAGAACAACATAATAGACAACTCGTGTGTTCTGTCGATGTAGCCAATTTTTTCAAAAACTTCCAACTTCCTCTGAGCTGCTGAGCACCAACCTGCCAACTGCCATTGAAATTGGATTTCCATGCACAGCCACTAAAGGTGTTCTCATGCCAAATGCCCCCTAGATTTAGCCTGTGTGGAGGTTTTGTTGCTCTAAAACAGAGATGCTCTAATTTAAAAAAAATGCAACCAAAAGAGATACAAGTAACAATGTTCCTGAAAGATCCTGGAAGACTCCAAAACTGACATCTTGCTGACTGGTGCTACTGAAATCTATGTAGTCTACAAATTCAAGCTCTTGCATGAAACAAACGAACCTGCACGTGTAGCCTGGGCTAGCGCCCCCAATGGTCTAGCCTCCGCAAGCGGCGGTCACAGCCTCCGGGCATTGCTTTGGCCAAGGCCTCCACGCCATCATCAGTCAAGCGATTCCTCGCCAAGCTGAGGCCTGACTCGCACGGAGAGCCAGGCAAACCAAGGGACCGGAGCATCAATAGATTTGCATCAAAGCCATGAAAAAATGCCCTTATCAATGACATTCAATGACGATCTAAGTGTTTGCTTTGGTGGCCTACCGGACAGGTTGGACTACAAAAGCGGCTAAGGTGGAATGCATTCTTCCCGAGTTCAAACTTACCCGCCGGTGGCCCACCAAAGGTGCCTGAGCTTGTGTTGTCTGCAGTGGGTCTTAACGTGCAACAGGAGCCTGCTTAAAATTAAAAAAAGATTTGGTAGCAGGGCAGGATACTATATTGCATATTTTGTGGAGAAGGGTTGGGGAGGAGGGCACAGCGCCTCCCAGCATGAGCACACAGCATACATTCACAAGTGGGCCGGGGGTAAGCAAAGTACTAGAGGACCACAGCATGTGGACCGGAAACCACAGCCAAGAAGAGAGACCAAGGGACGCAAGGGACCAAGGGGACCGGACCGGATCCTGATGTTGTTCTGGATCGAATCAATCATCCTCTTGATAGGAGACATGATCGGTATCCTGGAGCAAGGTGGCTGGAGGAGAAGGGACGCAAAAGCAACCTGCGGTTTTTCCTGAACTGTCACATCTGTCACACCGAACAGCCATTTCGCAGGCTCGACCACCAAAATACCATGTGGGAATTGAATTCCTACTGGTTTTGTCCACTCCCATAAAGCCGAAATCATATTGAAATCCATGGGATGTTGAAATCCATGGACCACCGAACCAGCCTATCCATCCCCACCGGACCAGCGCCAGGCGCCGCGCCGGCGCCTCGCAGCACGGAGTTCTTGCAGAGGCCCTGGGCCAAGGCCAGAGCACCTCGAGGTCCTGGCCCGACCCAAACCGGGTGCTGCAAATTGACCTGTTGTGTAAGAAACATTAAGAAACGACCCTTTTAAGAGATGTTAATATCTTTTAACTGCTGTATATATACTGCAAAGATCTGCAATGGGGGGAATAATCTACCAACTACTGGATACTCCACTTTGCTCTTCTGCATGTCAAAAGGATGTCAAAAGGAGCTGAGGCCATATTTAATATTGAATACATGCATCATACGCCGTCATACACATATATATACACAAATGAACATGAATGCACCTAAGATAACCTAAGCCCGCGAACACTTTCGCAAGTCCCGCGCGGATTGGTACAGGTATGCGAGCGCTCGCGAGGACCGGTCCTAGGCTATTCTCGTCGAGCCCCAATCGCTCCAGTATACCTCCCTCGCGATGCTGCATCTGCAGGACTGGAACCAATGCTTCAGCACCTGGGCCCAGGATTGTCCAACATCTTTTCCATTCTAGGTGTTTAAGAATGAAAATTATGGATCTTGGCTCTTGGAGTACAGACTCTCTTCATTGATATTTCATGATGAAGGGTACTTCCATGAAACGCAGGAAACACATTGATTCATTGATTGATAGAATCATAGAAATATATGGAAAGCTACAAACCACATTGGTTTTGGGATTGGACCTATACACTAGGAGCTAGAAGCTGCTAGTTTGTCTTTGAAGCTACTTACTAATAACAAGAAGCTACTAGGAACAAGAAGCTGGGAATCGTTTCACTTATGATTCACTGGATTGAGTTCGAAGAGGCAGGTCCAAACCGGCCTTCGGGACCAATGGCATTGCCACCCAAATCCAGAACGCTCACCTGAACGCTGCCGCTGCGCAATGCATCCGCAATACATCCAGAAACTGCGGAAGAGAACTTGGTTGTTTGTGTGCATTGCTTGTTTTCAACTTGGCAAAGAAATGGCCAAAAGCCTTGAAACCTGATGTCGGCGGAACTGGCAGATCTCCAAATGGCGACGCCACAGGCTCCTCCTCTGCCTGCATTACCATGAAGCAAAGATATCGGAGAAGGCAAAGCACTAGTCACGTCTGCTCCCGTCTGCTGTCTGCTATGAACTGGTACTTGGACTGAGGTATGTGGCAACGATTGGCAACGTATGGCAATGAGAAGCCCTGTTCGTAGCATCCTTGCTCCGTTCGTAAGGCCAGGCCCCGTTCGTAGCGTCCTAATTCGTCTGCGGACCTTCTTCACGTCTCCGGACCCATCGCGCCGGCGCGCACCTGCTCCACCCGTTGGCCAGGCAGTGCGAGATGCTTCATCGTCTTTCGGGGAGTCACGGTCTTTGAGGGTGTCTTTTTCTCTCGAAGGAAGGCCTGGCCAGACAGAGACTCACAAACCACGTCGCCAGGAATGCACCGCAGTGATTCTGATGATCTGTTTCTACCCCCCCAGCAACCTAAGGCCAAAGGCCAAAGCAAAACCTGGCCTGCATCAGAGCCGCTGCACCATCTTGCCCCAGCAAGCAGCCTGCAGGACCGCTGGAGGTGTTGTAGATCTTTCACATTGGGCTGGTTTTGCATTGAAGGAAACAACAACGTGAACAAGTTGGAAGAACACCGCCTTGGACCGCACGATGCAACAAACAACACCTCAACATCCTGCGCAGGACACCCGGTGGGCCTGACCTCTGCTGGTCTTCACCGTAGTCTCCGACGACTCAGACCGCCGAGAAACTTTGTAGCTGCAGGAAGGTGATCTCGCAGCGAGACAGTGTCTCCGCCAGCACTTCCGCTCCAGCCTCGCCCAACGCATTGCCTGACTGAGCGGACTGAGCGGTGCCCGGTGGTTGCCGGTGGCACCAGCTTTCAAGGCATACAACAGAACAAGAGCGACAGTTGTTGAGCATTGTCAAGTGCAAAGTATTGTGCACCATTCCAATTCTGAACAGAAATACCAAATGAAAGAGTAAATGCATGTACATGTACTGTAAATGCAATGTTACAAATACCAAATGAAAGAGTAAATGCATGTACATGTACTGTAAATGCAATGTTACAATACCATGCAGAGACTGCCACAGAAAACTGCTGCATGGAATTAAAATTCTTTGCTGATCAGTCATAGTCAATCCCCTCTACGGGGACGCTTTCCGGGATGTCGTGTTCATTCCCACTCCAACGGCGACAGAGCGCAGCGGAGCCCCATGTGGTTCACCGACTTCTTTGCGGACTGGAGCAAGCGCCGCAGCTCCGGCAGTAGATTCACCTCCGGTGACAGAGATTGGGGAAGAGCGGAGAGCGGAGACAGCGCTTCTTACCAGCGTAGCCAGATTAGCAGGTAATCCATGGTAATCCGCGGCAATCCTGGCCCATATGCGGTGAACAAGGCCAGTCAAAACGAAACTAGGCGAACCATGGCAAAACAAAACAATATGGTGAGATGAAAGGCAGGAGCCAAAGCAGTAGTTGAAGGCGTGAGCCAAAGAACATGTCGTAGACAATTGCTCGCCAGTGTCTACATGGCCCTACACACCAAATGGAACTGAACCGGGTTTCTGTTGAGCCATCTTTTGCCCAACATTTCTTCGGGCAAGAGAGAAGTCAAACGGCACGCGCCGTAAACTCGCTGTCTTTCGATGATACAGCAGCCGTCTTTTGACACCCACAACCTTTCAAGGGGAACAAATATATCAAATATAACATATACATAAACACATATTATGTATATATATATATTATATGTGAGGTGAGCATATATCTGGGGGTGTCATAATATGGTACCATATGGTACCAAATTCCAGTTGTTTGTCGCTCTTTCCCCGAAATGATGTAATGATTCTGGACGCAATGGGAGTAGCGCCCTCTTAGATGCCTCGTGCAGCCCAGTGGCTGCAAATACGCAAAAAACACATCATACAAAATGATATGGGCAGTAAACACACACTTCCGTGCTGCTACGATTCGAAGTCCTAGGACTACCATGTTCTTGGATGTATGAAGAATTCCGACATGGCCCACGAGATCTCAGCGGGTCTTCAGCTGAAATTCTGTTTGTGCAGCTGACCTGGTTCGGTGGCAACTCCAACTGTATCACCGGGATCTCCAGATTGGCCAAGCGTTGGGTAAAGTTGGTCAACTGCGCTTCTGTGAGGACCTGCCCAAAGAAGGCTGCCATGCTACAACTACCTCCACCTTGTTGATCCCTTGGCTATGCTTGACTTGAATGATGCTCTACGACGGTTCCAAGAGCCAAAGGAAGCCTTTAAAAGGATGCCAAAGGAACTCAGTAAAAAAGGAGCCGATCATTTAAAGACTCTGGAAAAGCTTCCTTTGCGTGTCTCAAGTCCACAGAGATTAATTTCCTGTGCAGGACAGCTCGGCTGCACTGCAAGTGGCAGTAGAATTTGCCTTCTTCTTCCTCAAGTCCAGGCTGACGTTCACCTTGTATGTAGCCGCCATCTCGATCATCAGGTCAAAGAACATATTCCATTTGGAATCAAAAATGATGTCCTGCAAGGACAACATCATTGAGCATTCTTGGGAACATAGCCTCTGGCCTCTGGCAAAACCGCTGGGAAATGAAGAGGACATGAAACGGCAAGATATGGCAAGATTATCGCAGTCATCAGTTTTGAAGGGGGCCTAGCACCTTCTCTGGCCCCAAATGGCCCCAGCCATATGTTCAACACAGCTAAAATTAGAAACTGCACTGACATGACATGGTTAATTATCAATTATATATATATATTGCTTTTGAGAGGGGCCTATCGTTTTTCAAGGCTTCAGCCAACTTTCTGTATCTCAAGACTGCCCTCTACTAAATTGGTGATCGCGGGTCTGTGGAGTCCTTATATAAATTGCCATGGCACTACCATGGTATCAAGTCACACGCTTGCTTGTGTTGCCAAAGGGCCAATCAAAAAATTACTGTACAATTAATTAAGAGTTCAATGTTTTCAAGAATGGCCCTTGAGTTCCTCTGCCTGTGGCAATCCATGCACGCGCTTCTCCTTCAGGTAGCCTAAGAGGCTGTTAGAAGTGCGGCGTTGCTTAAGCTGTTGCGAAGCTTGGTAGTTGAGGACTCTTATTCTGGCACTAAAGTCGTCTTCAACAGTTCTAGCCAAAAGAACCATGAGGCATCTGTCTGTTGCACAGATTCAAGACGATGATGATGATGATGATGATGATGATGACGATCAATTATCACCTACTTGGCACACTTGGGATCAGGGCGTGTGAAGCATCTCGCCAGAAAGTAGTCTCGCAGAAGGCGTGGGACAAACCTCATGACGGTTTTGCCTCTGCGCTCATCTGCAAAAGGCCTTAGTTCTTCTGTTTGTGGCGAAGCCAAGCTTTTAGCTGCAACAGGTCGACTGCATTTATTGGCAACCCATACCACACTTCCAATGACTTGTCATGGTCAGTCGTTGCCAAACAAACATCAGCCATCAGCCAATTCTCCATGCTGTATGCGGCTTGAGGGCGGTAGACATGGCTCGACCAGCACAAATTTGTTGGCCAGGATCAAAGCCCTTACCTCAGGACAGCAAAGGTTCAAAGAAACCTGACCTATCCTGGTAAAGCGATTGGCCGCTTTCTTTCGATTCATCTTGACAAGAGGCAAATCTCCAACTTCCTTCCAAGTCAGGATGCTCCTTAGTGCCAATCTCATCAGACTTGTCCGATTCAACAGCCATAGTCTTTGAACTCGAATACATAGCATCCCAAACAAGTTTGTTAACGTGGAACTTTCAGTATACAGTACCAAATCCGGTACAAGACCTGTGAGGAGTCATTCTGATCAACCAGGAAGATGGCAATAGAATAATCATATAAATGTATGAATATATATTATACATATACAAATAGTTTTTGTGATATGTCTTCATGCAATATGATATGTTGGGGAGGTCATTGCCCCTGCAGCGAGAAATAATCCTAAATCCTAACTACTATATAATTGCAAACAAGCATGCTACTAGTAGTAAGAAGCTACTAGGGGCGCTCCTGGCCTTACTACTAGTAACAAGGGCATCGCTACTAGGGGCGCTCCTAGACATTACTACTAGTAACAAATCTGTGCAAAAAGAAAAAGAACGAAAATCTGGATCCCGAACCAAGCCACGGATTCAATGACCTTGGTCATGCTCTCCGGCAAGAGAAGTTCCGCATCGTCGATCTGGAGCTTGGATCCGAGTCGCGGAGCGCAGTCGATCCAACGCCGAGCGTGGATGTTTTATGAGCCAACAAAGCAGCTTAAACAATTTAGAAAACTGGGGGTTGTTCGGGTGCCCCTTTGTTTTCTGGGTCGAACAAGACACACGAGAGAGCAAGCGAGAAACACTAGTCGAAATCAAGCTCCCAACGTAGAGCTTCATGGCCATGACTTCGAGAAGCTGGATCCTGGCGCAAGGAATTGTCATCGACAGGACCAGTATGGACGAGTCGTTGTTTCAATGTCTGGGGACTCTGATTGGTTCTCCCTTTATGGTCTTTATGTTGTTGTCTTTTGATATCTGTGATCTAGTATACAGCATAAGCACTAGCATAGGCATATATATTATACTACTGTATATTATACATCAGCAGTCCTCAGTATATTATATCAGTATTGGAGTCATCCGACCAAGTTTGGTTGTTTTGTTTCGTCCACCCCTAGCGGCTTCAGCAACTTCAGCCAAGCGGCACCCATGAGGCAGCTCCATCCGGAAGGCAGGCCGAGAGATTGAAACTGATCAGGGACCTCGCAGCGTTGATGTCTTTTTAATGTGCGGCAGGTGACAAGGGAACCCATCATTTCAAACATCGTCAACTATTCAATCACGGAAAAAAGAACAACTGTTCGAATGTGCTGATGCCTCCAAGTTGCGGAACCGCTGCCTCTACCATCTGCCCTTGCAACATTGTGCTGATCTCCTGTCGCCACCGCACGTCACGGATCAAAAGCCAGATCGGAGGGTCACAATCGATACTCTAAAGTCTTGCTCTATGAGGAAAGGTGGGAACTCTCGATACTCTACAGATCTCTAAAGTATCTTTCTATTGGATCTTGTCATGCCCCACACACCACTGATGACCATAACCTTCGGTCCCGCAATCTCAAGGCCTGTTTGCTGCTCGTGCGTTCCAAGCGGTTGCATGCTCGCAGCTCAGCTTGGGAGAGGAGCAAAGCAAAGCCTGGGAGGTTCCCGTCGAGACGGTGCAGCAACTGCTGCAAGCCACCAAGCAACTGCTATGCTGTGCTGCTATGGTGCAGCAACTGATATTAAACCAGGACTACTTGCCACCAAGTTGTGCTGACCCACGATCGGTCTGTGAGGATACATCGGCTACTTTAAACATCCTAGGAAAATATCATAGAGTCTGCATGAGTCTGCAGCAGCAATAAAGGTATATTAAAATATAACATGTGATCATGATCGAAACAGTAGTTGGGTAGATCGAAACAGTTCTGCAACTTCGCGCACAGTGCCAGTTTATTCATGATGAGGGGGCAAGAAGCTCTGTCGCTTGTCGGACCAAAAACATGTTGCTCTCAAGAACCAGCAATCAAACTGATTTTGTGGAAAGGACCCCACTGCCCGAGCATGCTTTGCATTGCTTTGCCTGAAGGTTGACGGCCCAGAGCTTCGCACTGCCTGAAGGTTGCCCTGAGAAGGCTCAGTAGTCAAAGGTGCTTCAGTGCTTCAGTGAAACTCCAAAGCACTGGACGGGATCAGTGAAGATTGGCAGGTCTAGAAGGCTCCAACAGGAGTTGTACCAAACGTGCCAAATGGATCAAACAGGCTGAACCGGTGCGTGCCAGGTGACTGAACCTTTTCCGCCGACAAAGCGCCAAGGCGTGCACAGGCTGCAAGGCGTTGCAATGGGTCCGACAAGAGCCCCATTTGGTAGGCGCTGGTGGGCAAGAACTGGGCCATGTTCAAACATCCAAGGGAAAGCATGTGTATATACATGTTATGCATATGCATGTGAATGCATATGCTAGCATGCTTCCAAAAAACTACAAAGACTTTACAATCGGTCACATCGAAAAACAATTCTGTGGTACTAGAACTGTCTTGCAACGTGGACAGGTCGCCGTTAGCAACTGAGCTTCTGGCATGGTCCTTCAAATGATATCGAAGGGAGTTTTGCAAAGGTCGAGCAAACAGCACCACAGGATGGCCCAAGCAGCACAGGTGATGCCTTGAAAAGCATGAGCATCTTTCCAGGTTTGGTCTCCGCTTCTGGCTTGAGCAAGGAGAAAAAAAGGGTTTGGCCCAGGCAATGTATGGTTGTGACATGTTGTGACTAAAATAGGCTGCCATCCAAAGCCACATTGTAAAGGAAGAATGGACCAAAACCTCCGATACTCCGCCAAAAAAAAGTTATACCGTCCAAGCCGCAAGTAATGAGTCAGAAACTCCCAGCCGTGAGCATCATTTTCGTCGCCACCATCAACCAAAAGAAGCACCTCAACAGCATGAAAAAGAGCTCGTTCAACTCCTGTATCGCGCATCGTCATCACTGTCTTGTGGGTGCCCAACGTGCCTATGTATCCTATGTCCAAAGCATGACTTGCGCATTGCACACATAATCACTGCGACATCATGTGGCATTCGGGGTCGCTTTATGCATGTGTGTTGTTGCACTGCTTCTTCTACTGATCATCTGAAAACCGGGCGCGTTTCATCTGAAAACCTTTCACCAAGTCGTTGATTCCACTCGCCACGTTCGCCACGCTGTGGCTCCCTGCTCTGCGGCTGTAAAGAGCCTAACCGCATGGCCCCGGGATTCGGCGCGCAGCCCGCCATCACACGTTCGGACCCATCAGGAGCCTCTACTATGACTATAATTAACTAGTATTCAATCACATGCAATTTACTATAACTACCAGGAGTCACAAAGGGGTTTAGTGTTTAGTAGAGTGCTAAGTGAGTGGATAATGGGAAAGTTGTGAGAATGGGCAACCCGAACCTCATCTCATCTGTCCTCCACCAATCACCCCTTTGGAACTGCCGGTAGTGAATGCAGGGTCCATCGCGGCGCACTGACCTGCCACAAGAGCGTGTAGGTCGACTGTGAGTTCTTGTAGCGGCTTTGGAGAAGAACCTGGATGCTCAGGCTTCAACAAACAGAATGCATTTCGTCTATTCTTGTCTGCAACATACCATGAAATGCCTAGCTCAAAGATTCAGCGCGGTCACGCAGCTCTATTATTCCGAAAGAAGCTACCAGAAACATGCTTCTTACATCTTCTTACACTATGCAGCCCACGGAACATCCAGCACATCGCCCTCAGCGCAGTAGCCACCTGGAGGGCAAATGACCTTCACCTCAGATCCCACCGTGATCTCGTTTACGAGTCAGAGCAGATATCTGACTCCCCATGACCCACAAAGTCTGCTCTTAAACACTTCGAATGAGCTGTCAGGTGCATTGGCTTTGATGGTATCAGCAGGTTTTGGCTCTAGGCCCTAGGCAATAAACATAATAAACCAGCAATGGCAAGCCACGATCTCCCTGGCGTCCAAAATCACTGGAAGCAATCCTGCGATGCCCAGCAAAATCTCAGCTGCAATCCATCCAGTGATTGAAGCATCTTCGAAATCACTTATATAAAGTAATGTTTGGCATGCAGAAGTTCTATGCACAGCAGCACGTGACAACTTGTGCTGCTGGCATACACTAGCACCACGTGTCGATGGAGGCGCTCCTCCAGCTGAGGCCACAAGACTCTCAAGCACCAACCGGCGCAAGAGGGTACTCTTGCCGGTGCCGGGCTTCCCCCAAACCTGACAACGCAAAGCCGCGGAGCGCTCTATTTCTGAGGGGAAGAATCTCAAACTCCATCAAACTCGGAGGGTAGAAAGTCATGCTAAACTTGTGGATGGCTGATGCAACCTACGTATGAATCGAGACGTACGTATCTCTTCAAGTTCATCAGCAAAGCCACCACAACTGCTCGTCTTTGCAGTGCACCAGCCTCCCGCACCTGCACAAGATGTGTACAGAAGCGACCCCATTCCCACATATTCCCACAGGATTTCTCAGCAACTCAAGGCGAGACAAATTGAACTGTTATCATCTGATATCAAATATATGCTTTTAAAGGTTTGACAGTTTTACTCAACACCTGGCCACCTGATGGTACCTGTGATGATACCTGACGTATCAAGCACACCAAGCTGTCCACTTCATACCAAGTGCAAAGGCTCCTAAAGTTTCACCTTGTTGGGCATCGGAGAAATGTCCTGTAGGAGCTGCTTCCAAGCCCTTGGCACACGTTAAACCAAACCCAACAAGCAGAACAGGCCCAACACTTATTGATCTTGTACTCCAAAGTTATCAAGTCCTGTTGTCTTCTCCTGTTTCCTTCCTGATGCGATTGACTGCAAAAACAACCCATTTGGATCCATTTGGAATGTCTATTCAAAAGGACTCTCCCGAGAAATCGGAAAACCATTCTAAAGTCAAACCCTCCAAGCTGCTGTTCGTGGGGCTCAAGAGATCGACTCTCCACGCCCACCATATCCTCGTCGACCTCGCTTTCCTGGCGAAGAAATGGTTCCGAGGGTTCCCAGCACCACTGTTTCAGTGGTCGTGCGACTCTGACACCGTCGGAAAGCATCCAACTATTGAGTCAACAAAATGTTGTCCAATTCAAGTGGACCCGGGGTGGGGTGATACCATCTTCTGTTTTTCTTGATCATGAGACCAAGTGATACCAAGTGATACCATTTAGACTGCAGCTCGCAAACTGCGTGTTTCTTGGGCCCAGATCCGTGGTGCCCGTCGTGGACACGGCGTCGGCGCTCCTTCGATGAGCCGCTCTCGTCGGTACTCTCAAGTTCTCCGCTGCTTTCCTGTGGACGACCACATTCGATCGACAGAAACTGGTGGAAAACCCGTGAGTTCATGGGGATAGTGATTCATACTAAACACATACTCAAACACAGAAGAGGCGAAGAAACAAAACGAGAATCGCTGACAAACAAAAAGGACTGCCTGAAATCTCACCATTCTCAAAGCCGCACCTGAAGCTCGTCCTTCAGCTGAATCACGGCAAAGGGCACTGAGAGAAGGTCAATGCTTCGGGACTTAGCAAGACAAACACCTGCCTGACTTGAGTATCTACCTAACTTGTCTCTGTCCACGGAGATAATTCATCAATAATACTGCATCACGTGGTACATGATATGTATCAATTATATCAACAAAGCACTCCAAAGCACGGATACGTCCAATCAAACACCTGCAATGGCACGGCCATTTAAGGGCCGCCACCAACAACCCTTTGACCGATACCCAGAAGTCTCTAGTAACTCTAGTAGAGGACAGTAAAACATGGCTCGATGGTTCAATGATGACTCATGAACTATCGTTTTTGGAAGCGAGTGGCTGTGAGCGCATCTTGAAGATGGTGGTTGCGCATCCAAAGATCTTGAGTGTAACTTTGCGCACACCTCACTGACACATGCCCTCTTCGTTAAACATGTGCACCTTTGCACGAATCACAGCTTGAAATGTCATTGCCGAAGCTTCAGACGCTAAAGGCGCGTGCCAAAGAGGCATTGTCAACACTAACTGTTCAAGCCCGCCAGGTGACCAATTGTATGTGGCGAGCGGAAGCTTGGCTGGTGCGTGGTTCAGTTCATTCAAGCTCCTGGGCTCTCAGGGCAAAATGCCGACGGCGCAACTGCACACATGATAACTTATGATAAGTACGAAAAATTGTATTGATCAATGTCGATCAATAAACTGAATCATGAACATGCTATGTGAACAAGCTTGCAGCATCTTGCAGCCTTGTCTCACTTTGTGTCTCTTCCTTTGTCCAGTCTTGTGGTCTCGCATGTAGACTTCGTGCATATTTCCAATGCCCACGCCTGGGCGTGAGCGCCATGATGGAAGCATGGATGTCGTTGCCAAACATAGGTTCCGGACGTATCCAAATTGCATATGCCAAAATCTGTTCTTTCAGCTCTTTTGCAGGTCGTCTGACTTGAATAAAACTAAAACCAGGTTGCTGTGCACGACCGCATCAATCCAGCCACCCTTTTCGAAGAACAGAAGGGGCTGCGTCTGGGCATAGCGGAAAACACCAGTCAGCCTTGGTGCACGTGGCTACCATTGTCTTCCAAGAGCTTGACACGAGATTCTCGAGACACTGAAATTTTTCAGGTGATGAATGACGTCGAGATGCAAATAGTTTCCAGGTCGAGGATCAAATAGAACCGTCCCTTTTACTCCGTCCAACTGTATTTCGTAGTATCCTCACAATGGAACATCACGATCACTGCTGGCCACAAAATGTCACAAAGCATGAACATTCGTTCCAAGAACAGTTTGCCTCAAAAGCCTAACCCTCAATGATCCAAAACAAACGTGCAGAAGTCAGCGACGTGGACGTGCTTTTTCTCCGTGTCGACGTGACATACCGAGAAGTGACATACAGTCCGTGCCTGGTCGCTGCAGTGATAACTCCAGGATGGTCGCTGCGTGGTTTGGCAAGACCTTCCGATCCTTGAGTCGTGCTGTTTCGGCCATCCAAGGCTTGTCCAAGGGTGTACAGCTTCCTGCATGATGGCATGGTGCTCTCATCTTGGCTGGCCACATTAGTTTGTTGGTGCACATTGTCCTGTAAATTACATGTGGCTACGATCCTACGGATCCTACGTGTGAAGCTGCTTGGCAAGCTGTGTCAGCACTCCGTTTTGGCCGGAGGACCATCAACTTGGCAGCTTCCTCACGGCTGTCCTGAGGAAAACAGGCCATGGATTCTATGTGGCTCGCTTTGCGACTCTGAACAGTGAGTGGCTCTCTCCCACTGGAAAACCAACAGGTCATCCATAAAAACGAGTTATCGCATTTCTCACTCTGTAATAATCACAACAGGTCATCCATTCAATGACTGCATTCAATCGCCGTCAAGGATCCTTTCTGCTGTTCACGGCATTTTCAGGGTTGACGCTGACGGTGACGCTGTCCTCGCACGAGGCGAGAATCATCCCAACGCACGATGGCACGTGCGAGACGTGGCAAATCGCCAGAGAGTATTGTCTAGTAAGGGTCCAAAATCGTCTTCCTTTCAAGAGAGTGTCATGTCAACACTTCGGTTTGATGGTCATCATGCCAGAATCCCGAAAAATAATACCCTGGGTGGGACCCTCGGTGGTTGTGTTGTAGACCCCAAAACGTGGGGTCTAACATCTTATTCACTAGGCCTTGCGTCCGATCGTGCTTAAGTCCTAGACCCTCAGACTGGGGAATTCTGGAGGGGGTCTGAAATCATAATTTTTGCCGCTAAGGGAAAACCAATCTAGACCTTGTAATGTGACGTCATGTCGAGCTGATTTTAAAAAGATCATGAAATTCTGACTCCCGTTCAAAGGTCTATATTGATCAAGCAAACAAGGTCTACAATGATAATGGGACCCATCTTAGACCCCAACCAGTCTATCCCTCGAGGGTCTCCCATTCTAGACCCTACTAGCTGAGGGTATGAAAAATACATGTAAACAATACTAATAACGGCGATCCAAAAGTCAAAGTTCACACGAATACGAAAATATGAAAGTGGATGACCATCCGAACATCATACACTACCTTCTTAGACCATGGCACACACTGCGTTCTGAAAAGGGAAGCACAGCCACGATCTAAATGCATCAGAGAAGCCCTCTTTCGCCCTGGGTCTGGGTCCTAGGTACGGGAGCCGCTGAAAAGGCAAGCCAAACAGAGTGATGTAAGCGTTGGCATGCCTACTCTCCTACCAGTGCACACTTTCACATCGACCCCTCATGCAGCAAGACCTTGCGAACAAGCTTCTGCTTTGGTTGCGCTTTCATCAAGCTTTTTTCCCTAGGCAGTTCCGCTGAACTGAAAACAAACAACTCAAAGCACCATGAGAACAACAAGGAAGGAATGAAAGTTAAGCACTCCTGGCTTGCATTGTACGAACTTATGGCTATATCTAAATCTTTCTCATTGAAGGAGTAAACCGTAAACCTCTCTGCCATTGACAAGGCACGCGTTTGGGCTGCTCCTGGAATATCAAATCCTCCTTGATCAGTCATGCAAAATACATCAAAATCAAATCAAGTATGGGCCAGTATGGGACACGGCAGCTTCCCTCACAGCCAGCATGATTCGATTATGTGATCCGACATCTGTTGAGCTTGTCCTGACGTAGCACTCGGATGCGTGTGCCTTTCGGAAGCATTCGAACCTGTGGAACAGGCGAGACTCTGGGAGCTGGCGTCTATTTGTGTCCCATACAACTAATGAGCCATGGTTTTCTGACGATGCCAAAGCATCCTGGCCTCAGGACTGTAGCGAAATTTCAGGGTCAAGTCGATGGGAGAAACCTGAAGCATTCATCCACCGCTGGATGCTGTTCAGCTGCAACAAGAGCTACTGAGCTCAGCACTTCTCGCTGGAGCTCACCCCTGCCAGTGGATCAAAGCGACTTACTGTATGCTGACAACTTGACATTGTCATTGAAGGCATTGAAATCGAACTGCAGGTTTAACATGATCCATGCAAAAGTACGCCTAAACACAAAAGAATAGAAATTGAATTTGGGAGACATTGCTAAACATTGGACATGCGTTGGCACACTCTAGGAATATCTAGGAATCATGGGCACTGTTCTTTTGTTAAAGTAAGTGCTGAAGATGTCGATACCTTAACTGTGTCAGGTGGATCACTTGGAATGATTTGTGTTGTTCGTTTGTTCGTCTTGATCAGGTGGCCCAAATGTACATGTTTTAGAATTATTTTCTAGATAGCTGTTGTGATGCCGAATCTCCATCAAATTTGGTACGGTCTTGTATGCGATGTGATGTGACAAGTGATAGGTACAATATGAATATGTATATATATACAGTAGTATTAGACGAAATGACATGGCTTGGAAGCATTGCCTGACAAAGTTCTCATAGTCCGACAGAACGACTTTGGTCACCTTGGCTTAGCAGCAAACCGCTCTTGGAAATGAATCGTTGTGACATGCAACAAACTTTAGCCTTTTGACTTTCGCTGGCCTTCGCTGAGTTCCCCGCAACAGTTACTAGGCTTTGCATGTCTTGGCCTTCTGGTTGAACCGGTGACGCAAAGAAAATTGGAACGCTCACCTGCCCACAGGCTGCCCACAGAGAAAACCTACAGTACCTAGGGGCCTGCATGTTGAAGTGATGTTGGCTGTTGTGCTGCACTCATTTCATCGCCGATGTCGCGTTAATGTCAAAGGATGTCAAGAGGCATACCATCGTGCTTACAGCAATGGTTTGAGTATTGCTTCATTGAGATTAATTGAGATGGCTGCAGGCCTCAACTCGATGTGCCTCAAACACCAACACCGCTGGCATGACATTGGCGCGGCCACCTTGCACATGCCGGCTGACGGTAAAACCAAACATGGAATCACTGTTGAGCCCCACACGGCATAGGTAACGTGATTCTATTTTACAAGTCGGTCCATAAACTCCTTCAAATGTTTCGCAATTTGTGCCAGTGATGTCAGTGATGTGTTTCCAGTCCCAAAAGTTATTGGTGTAAGCAAATGAAGGATATACATACGGTGTCAACTGAATTGTATCCCTCCAACATCTGCGGACCGCTTCGAGCGTGATCCACTGTGCTTCAAAAACACCATCAATCCAGCCAAGGACTTTCCGCAGCTCTTGGAATGCTTTCGCAAAGCCCTCGCCTGCCTGCAAAGTATATTGACTACAAAACTGACAACCCTATAATCCATGCCGATTCAGTTCATGCAGGAACCAGCATACAATAGTCATGAAACAGTCACGTTTAGGCGTCTGACGATGTAGATTCCTTCTTTGGCCATGCTTTCGAATGTCCATGCCTTAGCAGAAGTCTTGTGTTTGGGTCACGGTGCTACACGTCATGTTGATGTTTTGGTGGAGGACCAAACGGTGGGTTCGGTGGGTTCGCCGAAAAGGCACGACAGAATCTATTCGCTGAGCTGAGCGTCCATTCGCAAGTTGTTGCGAACCCAATCTTCAGAGTCCAGCAAAGCTGTGAGGTCAGAGGGTCTGAACAATTCCACACTCTCCTTTGCGCGGACCAAGGCAGCAGTCCTGAGGTCAAGTCACCAAGGAGCGACCCAAACTAAGTCCAGTTCTTTGAATCGGCAAAGAAACGACGAAACGACTATCAATATCAGCCACCACATTGCACGGCCTTGTCACAGCCCTTTCAGACACTCCAGGTCCACCAAGCGTCGCTTTGACGGTCGCCAGCCCGACTTTGAACTTGAACTCTGTTGCCTGACAACGAAACAAGAAGCTGCTAGGGGCTCCTGGCCTTACTACTAGGAACAATGACGCTCCTAGGGGCTCCTGGCCCTACTACTAGGAGCAAAGAAGCTACTCGGGGCAATCTTGAACACATGTCGTCTTCACTTTTCTCGCCTGCGCCCGGGACACCAGACTTTCAACACAGGTCACGCCGAGTGGACCCATGTAGTTGGCAAAGCCATGAGCCAACTCCAGGATGTTCCCTGGCGAATCAAGTCGGATATATGAAACGATCTCAAATGTCTCCTGCGACTGCAAAGCAAATGGCAAACACTATCACTTCAAGTCCTGCTATAGTGATTTTTATGTAAATGAATCTAGGAACCAAAAGAATAGTGCGAGCGCTTCTTCAAGGAAGCGTGAGCTATCCTGCATCCACTGCCCTCGTGATATTTTGTGATGGGGCGCAGTTGCAGGTGATTCAGTGATCCTACTTGGCCACCCACAGCAAATGGCTGTGTGGCGTTGGGTAAGATTAAAAAAATGAAAACAATAGACTGCTCGGCTGTCCATTTGGCATACAAAGGTGGAGAAATGTGCAAAAACATACTTTCGGCCGTTGCCTCTGTAGAAGTGAATCTTGTCCATCATGTCTCGAATCTGTGGTACTACATTCCTGCACGCTTGCATGTGACACATGCGACAAAGGTTGTCAAGTCCCAAGTCTTGTATACAATCGCAAATCGAGAATCCTTGGCTGCTGGAGGATGAAGAGTGTGCAAGAAGAAGAATCGTTTGCTCTAATCACTCTAACCGCAAGGAAACATCGCTCGGCTCTCACATGCTCTCCCTCTCCTGCGCAGGAGATGGCCAGGGGGATCTCGAGGGAGTGCATCCAGGACGGATTTGAATGCCCTCAGAAGAAAAACCGGCCGTGGATGTGCAACCAAAGCTCAACTGGCCAAAAATTGGGCCCGGAAAAACTGGTGGATGGACACAATGTCCTTTTCGGGCTTATAAACAGATTGGCAACACGAACCACCTGTGCTCTAAATCTTCTCTTGACTTCATCAGCACTGAAAAATGATGGTCATTACAATTCATTAATTCGTCCACCACGGACCACGGGGCATGAAGTGGACCTGCATTTCTGACCGCACATACTGTAGGCATATGGAGAATCACCATGTAGCGCAATCCTGGTGCTAATCTCTCAATGCCTTGCAGAATCAGCTGGTGTCCGTTTCTACAAAAACATAGACCTAAATTGACCCCACAATATGTTCGACACGTGAAAGGTGACTCAGTGCCTTTCCTATACTACTGCCTTTGGGCCGATATCCAAATTTGAATTGAGCGTTGCTCAAGCCTGCTTAGAATATCTTAGAATTGTTCTAAGTTCTACATACCAGTAACGGATCATAATGGGTTCTTCTTTCGCAAGTTCCTTTCGCTTTCGCATGCTTTCGCGGCTTGCGTTTTGGCTTTCGCGTGCTGCATTCTGTGCAAACTTTCGCAGACGGAACTGATTTTGCAAGCTTTCCCGAGATTTCGCAAGCTTTCGCACACGAATAGTTCGCACAATCATTCGTGACTGCATGTTTAGCTTTCGCGAAGGCATAATACATTAACTTCAAATTGTTGGGAAGTTTGGCCACTGCTCCATTGGCAGCCTGTTGCTCATCCTTTGACCATATTTGACCTCCTCTTATCTCATTCTTGTTATGCTTCCACTCAAGAAGCTCCTCACGATCACCTTGTCATGCACCAAAGCACCCCGTATGCCAAGGCTCCTGAGAAACAAAGGCTTTCGATGCAATGCCGCTTTTCCAGTCTCCTGTAAATGTGAAGTCCGATCTCCGAGCCCACGACAGTGACCGAGAGATCTTGACGATCTCAACAAGGTGACTTCTTTCATGTTCTTTCTTGGCACGGCGCCTGCTTTTGTGCGGCCAGGGTCTCCATATCTTGCTCTTCCAGGGGTAAATCGATCATGTAGGGCTCCAGTCCGGCTCTTTCAGCCTTCTCAGGTCCTTCAAAACCTCGGGGGCACGGATCGGAACGGCAACCAGCATCACCCAGCTCTGGCGGCACCGGTCTGCCAAAGAAGACAGGATTGAAATGGATTGAACAATCTTGAACGAGGGCTCGCTTTCTCTTCTTCTTGCAGTCAGTCTAGAGTCTATAGTCTATGGATGTCTATTAGTGTCTTGAGAACTCCACACCACCATGTTGACGAGGCACAGGGACATGGCCAGCCATAAAGGGCAAACGCCCATCCTCGCAGTATCGCCATTCCTGGCGACGCCAGTTTCGGAGGACCACAATCCTCCGAAGGTTCAAAGTCTCTGTCATAGGAAAAACTGCAGTTATAGAATGGCAATAGACTACGATATTACACTAGTAGCTAAATGATGAAGGCTCAATTACTTATCCTGACTATAAACATCTTTAAACTATAGGATCATAGGATGTTGTTTGATGATTTGTCATACTCACAGGATCCATTCCTTCGGAATCGCCACACTGTGATGGCCACACTGTGATTCTCACCCCCGAGTTGCCTGTGGTCGTGGAGCCAGGACCCAACTCTTCTGAGAGAATGCCTGAGATCGGTCACAAAGAGGTGGAAAGAAAGGGTGGAAAGACATGTGGAGGGGAGGGAGCCTTGTATCTATCATTTATGCATATTTTGTGAGATATTTATGCATGGTCTCTGATGGTTCATTGGTTCTCCAATTGATCGAAACAATGCGTCCACAAGTCTCTCTTCACCGGAACAACCTGCGTAGTTGTCAATGGAGACCAACTCTCCGTGCCATTGAGTCAATCAGTACCTGCCAAGTGGCCAGGAATCGGATCAGTAAATCCTTCTTCTCCGCCCGGGTTGGTCAAGACAGGCGCCAAAGTCTCCTCCTGGACGACCAGAGGAGGATTACTTCACAAATGTAGGAGTATATCCTGCACACCATCCGCAAGAGGAGGAACTGAAGGACATGATCAAGAACTGTTCACACGACCATCCCCAGAGTGACGAGTCAAGACACGACGAGTCACACAGTCATGTCAAGTCATGTCTGTGACAAAAAAAACTCCTGCTCACAGTCACCACCACGTCCATCATATATCCATATAATATATATATATATAGAGACCCCCAAAATATATAGAAAATGCAAAAACCCTTTCAAAAGGTATTGGAAACCGTGCCACTATCTATTTGGAGACCATGATCAAATATGATCTAATCATGTCCGTAAACGTGTCAGAACTGGGCACCTCGGTGGCAGAACTGCCCTGGGTGGAGGCACGTCGATCTGCACTCGCACGCCTCAAACAAATTTTGAGGTTCCTGCTTTGCTTGTCCTGCTTTGCTTGTCCTGCTTGTGCTGTACTTGCTCAAGCTGCTTACCTGAATCATCCTGAATCTACCTGAACATCTTTCCCGCGATCCCTTGAAAGGTCTTAGTGACTTAGTCGTCTTGTACAGAATGAGTTTGCCGGCTCCCCGCCTTGAGGGCCTCCTTGAACTCTGCGGCCTCTTTACCCCTGAGCACATCTGTGCTTCTTTTTTCAGTGCTAGTAGTCTGCATTCAGATTTCGGCTTCACATTGGTCTCTTCAACCAGAACCAATGACCGCTTCCACAGCCCCCACCCAGCCCTCGTCTCAGCTCAGTGATTTGGGCGGACGACTCGGCTCGGCGAATTGGTTGAGCCCACCTTCTGCTTCCATTCTGGAGTGTCTGCGAGCCTGTGCCCTCTCCTGCAAGCATCTGAAAACCCAATGGGGGTCTTCAGCGGCTGAACATGGCTGAACTCCGCGAAGAGATTGCGACATCCTGTTATGCTATGTTATGCTTGCTTCGCCCAGTTTGATCCACAACTCTCTGACGTGGTCCTGAGTGTGCTTCAAGATCTTCGGTTTCTGTGGAGACCTTATTGCACTTGGAGACTTGGAGCTGAAGTTCATCTAAGCCGAAGAGGCTTGGAGTGTTGACCCTTCATCCCTGTCTTCCAACCTGTCGAGGACGGCCTTGTTGGATCTCATTGGGGGCTTCATGACCCATCTATCGATCGCAGCTCTTTCAGCGTCTACAGCCAGCTGAAGACAGCTGTTGACCCATGGGCCTACAGTTGAGGCTGACCCATGGGACCCACCCTAACAACCCACCAAGCTCCCGACGGCCTGGCCCTCATATCTTCTTCCAGCTCTGTCTTCTTGTAGGTGAGTCTCACCAACAAACAGTGTTTCAGGTCAAAGCATACCTGGGATCTGCAATGTTGCAAAGTGTCGCGAGGACTGAACAATTTAGAACACAAGCAGCTGGCAGCTGGGACAAGGGAAATGGTTAGTTATACTGCATCGCATTTTTTGCGACTGGGATTGATTGATTTGATTCGTGGTAATTGCTTGTCGACTGATTGGCCGAGTGTTCAGGATGCATCTGACAGCGATGAGTTTTGTTGAGCTTGTTGTTCCACTGCATGCAATCAAGTTGAGATGCTCCGCCAATCATCATGCCCGCGATAGATTCACCATGATCCTGCAGAATCACAGGGATTCACAAGGGGAAGGTCAGTGAATTCTTCTGCCCAACACACGCGCAGCGCTCGCACCTCAACCTTGCGAAATGCCCAAACTGCCTCTTCTTGCACCGAATGGCGACGGCCTTCCAAGCCAAGCAGTTGATATGAGACGTCAAAAATGAAAAATTCAAGATGCAATTGACTGTCAATGACCTGCCAATTAAATATATTGATGAAATCAATCTGCTTTCCAACTGACGGTGTCATGCTGTTTGTTTGACAGCTCTTCAGTGAACGTCGAAGCCCTAAGTCAAACAAGCTGAACTGACCGGACTTCCTGCATTTGGAGCTGGCACTGGCACTGACAATGCAGTCGTGATGGAGTGCACTGTCTTCGTCTCCACAAAGGCCTTCAAAGGGCTCTGTTTGTTTTGATGTACATGTCTTTCTTCAAGTTGTCGAATTCACAGGCTTTTCCCAAACGGATCCTTGATGAAACAAAACGGTGGCTTTTTGTCGACCATCCGTTGACCCTTACCTTGGTCCTTCCTTTCCGTACAATGTGACAACAACACTTGCTGCATATTCTGGCATGCGCCATACAGCCAAAGCAACTGCAAAAAGAGCTAGCACGTGCACCAGACCACATCAAATGATTTCGCCGGACACTTTCTTTTGATAATAGAAACGCTGCGAAAGGAATGAATTAGATGTATTTCTGTATTTCATTAAATGTTTTTGAGTGAGAATGATATTGACAGGTCCTGTAAGATCTTCACAAGGCGGGAGGCGGCTGCATTCGCCTGGCACTCTCCGAAACCGGTGGATATTGGTGGATGGCGTTCCCAAATGAAACTCTACATGCATGATGATTCAATGATTGAACTAACAACGTACAACACTATAGCTGACAACTTGAATGTTGAAAGGTGTTTTTAAACGCAGAAAATATGCAAACTTCGTGAGGTCGTGATGTTCCAGTGGCGCATGCGAACTGAGTGATGCAAATGTTCGTCCAAAATGTCGCAGCAAAATGCAGATCAGCCACGTGACGAAGGGCCCAAAGGCACTGCCATGGAGGGAACTCCTGCAAGGACGCTGTGCATCTCTGGACATGTTGATTCTTGGCCTTCTCAAAAGAACCATTGCCAGAGAAAGGGCTTCTCTTTGCCACACAAGTTTCCCTAAACATCTAGGAGCCAACTCCAGCTCATTAGTGCACGCGCTATCCTGCGTCCAGATAAAGAAACTTAAGTATTCCTAGTAGCGAACTACTCCCTTACTTGCTCAATTTAGTCGGCGCCTACTTAATCAAGTAAGGAGGCAGGGCCACTCGGGCTAAGAAACAAAAACCTTTCTGGAAACATCTGGAAACAATCTTTTGTGGCTTTCGATTCACTTGTCTTTCTCAAAAATGGAGTTCAAATCACCACTGACCACTCGGAGACCCCCTCCGACGCACCCCACGGTCATTTGGATCCGGGACTCAGGATGAGAGTTGTAATGGTTTGTATGTAACAAAGAGAAAGTCGAGCATATGAGAAGAATTACAAAAAGAAGCTTTAAAACAAAAAATAAAATATATACGTAAGAACGGTCCTTGGAAACCTGTTATTGGGTTGAAATGGCTGTCTAACTTCAGCACTTCATCGGAGTTATCTGCATGGTTCTGGCAAATGAGCTGACATTGGGATTGGAAAGAGCCCTCAAATCACCCTGTGTCAAGGTGGAAACACTTTTCGGGTGAAGAGACAAAGCGAAGGTTCCTACGTTGATGAAAAATAAACATTCAAAACTCTGAAACCCTCCAGCACCAAGGGGGTGTCTCAACCAAAACCGAACACGGGAACCCTTCTGATGACCACCGCCAAGAACTAGAATATAATTGTGGAATCGGGTTGGTGGGTGGTCTCCTCATTTCGAGGCATCCTCACATCCTATCATGTCTTTTCAAAGCCGTTGCGCAGCTCGCGCCTTGGCAAGCACCAGTTGCAGCGCCGCTACCAGGTGGGGCATGAGCAACGCAGAGGAGAGCGCACAAACACTCTCGTACTCACTTCGCAGGCTCAAATCGTGGTCTGATGCCTAGGAGAATCATCAGATTGTTGCAGGAGCGATGCAGGCTCGTGAGGGCTCTAGGTGAAGACATCAAGGATGAATTGAGTTAATCCTTGTGCAAGGTGCATGACCATCTCGAACACATCCACTAAACTCGAATCGAAGGCACAAATTGAAAAGCTTCGGTCTCCAGTCTCTCCTGTTGGATAGAAGCGAGCCACAGGGAGTTCTTCCAATTCCACAGCAACTGAGCATGAACCACACCTAAGTTCCGAATGAGACATGTCATAAAAGCTCTTTCTCAAGGATCGAATGAACACCGTCCTCGATGGCTTCAAGAGCTCCGATCTGCAAATCCCAGGCCCATCTTCTCGGCTGAGTCAACGTCGGCCGCGCGAGCCTCGGCCGCAGCTCGGGTTCTCCTACGCGCGAGCTCGGTCGCCCGTGGCCCGGTGCCCGTGGCCCAGCTCTCCGAGGCCGGCGCTGCGCAATGTCCCGGAGCCGGTGTTGCGCGGGAGAACCCATGGAGTTCTTCAGGAGTGCCAACAGCCCTGCCGTACTGCCTTCATCCGGAACCAAAGCTCCAGGTAACAAACCCAGCAAAGCAGTGCTGAGCTCCATGGCCTGCCAGTGTTGATTTTTGAAAACTCAGCACTATGAGACGATTGGCATTGTTGTGCATGGCCTCAGCCCCAGTCAATTTCTTGGGGGGGGCCCTTGCAGGCGTTCATGCTGAGTGGCGCGGATGCGACTACGATGGGCTACTACTACAAGATTTTGTCTCCTTGGATGAGCGGTGCTGGATTTATCCATCTTCGGACTCGACAACAACTAAAGCAACATGATGGAAACGGTTTTTGGTGGCTATAGGCTCAAGCATATCAAAGCGCTACATAGGCCTCCATCTGTGCCGTCCGGGCGTCTGCGCGCGAGACGACCGGAGAGCCGGGCCAAGGCCCTGCCACCGAAAGGTCACGAATGTTGGCAAAGATCTGGCGCCTTGTTGCCAGGCTGCCAAGGCTCATTGTTGCCAGTGACTCACCGGAGTGCTTCTGTTCGGATGTCTCACACCAGATCTACCAAAAAGAATGCAAAACATCTGCATCTGTTGTTTGATTGGTGCGCCAGAGCGTGCAGGCCAAATGCAAGGAGTGTAAATGTTTAACATACCTGAAGTACGTGAAGCTCCCACACAAACTCAAGGTTAATTATCAATGATTAAATTTCACAACTTCATTTCAAGAAACAATGGATTGTGAAGAGCCAAGCAGCTCTTCTGAATTGCTGACTGGCCGTCGCCTGAGATCAAAGTGCCATTTCGCAACTGTAACCCATGCTGTTTTGCAGTATATAAGTGCATCCAAACTGCTCCGTATGCTCCTCTTGGTTCATGAATATGATGAGTTTGGCTGATTCCTGCACTGGATCCGGAGACATGTGAATCCTCTATGGAAAAAAAAATTGCAGATTGTATCCAGGAGAACCTGCAAACGCCTGCCTGGTCAATCCTCAGCCAATCGGCAACTGTGTCGACGTCAGCTCCAGACCTTCAGGTGACATGCAGCCTGGAAAGAAAATGACGGAATATCCTTTGTCCCTCTTCATGACCCTGAAAACCATTGAAAACCTCCCACAATTCCAGGCTGCCACGAGGTCTTACTGCCTACAAAGTTCGAGATTGATGCAAACACATGCAAATATGTTTCGCTTGTGCACTTGTGTCGGGACAGTTGATGTTTTGCGGCCAGTTCTCTTGCGAATGCTAACTCAAACAGTGAGTGAGGTCAGAAAAGCTACATGCAGGCAGTGTTGTCGGTCTGCTTGGAGCACCAGTCCACCCACCATGTTCAACCACTTTTTGGATGCGGTCCCTCAACCGCATCCCTACTAGTAACAAGGGCATCGCTACTAGGAGCAAGGGCCTTACTACTAGGAACAAGAAGCTAGTAGAAACAATGATTAGTAATTATAATTAGGTTTAATTAGAATTAGTTTAATGTACAGTAATTAGAATTGATATGAATTCATATGAATTGATGTCATGAGATTTCTGCATAAATCCGTGCCTCGGTAGTCGGTAGATGTGTCACTGCTATCGCTACTAGGAGCAAGCACACTACTAATGGATCCTGGCAACGCTACTAGGAGCAAGCACGCTACTAGGGGCTCCTGGCATCGCTACTAGGAGCAAGCACGCTACTAATGGCTCCTGGCATCGCTACTAGGAGCAAGCACGCTACTAGGGGCTCCTGGCATCGCTACTAGGAGCAAGCACGCTACTAGGGGTTCTGGCATCGCTACTAGGAG